CGTCATAGGCGCTCGTGTGGAGCTTCATTTGGATGAGGATCCGAAGAGAAGGAGGATTAGGAAGGAAAGTGCCTCTAGGAGTTTGACCTCTGGAGGGGGGATCGGGAGGGGAGCGATGGCCCCATCGAGTCTAGCCGAAACCTTGGACGGAAGATCCGACGTGAGAGTGGTACCAACGCATGCTCACTACCGATGCATTCATAATGTTGCCTCCACTCATCGCCGTCCCCGTAGCCATTTGGGCTCAAGCATGGAGCCCCGAGAAGCCAAACTCCGAAAACTTAACTGCGTGAGAAACTCGATACCTCATGTCACCCAGTCAGCATTGGCTTCCCTAGTATCTCACGCTCGTGACCTACCTGAGGCTTGCTCGACCAAGGATATACGTGATGCCCGAGACTTGGATGCAAACATTGTAACTCCATATGGTCCTCTTCTGACAGAGGTGCTGGGGGCAGAAATGTAAGATTGCTTGGCCCCCTCTCAACTACTTTCTCATCTCCTTGCTCGTTTTTTTTTTTTGGGGGGGGGTCGATTCTCCTGGAGTAAATTGATGTTTCGAAAGCTCGGGTTTTTTGGAGTGGAGCCCCAGAGAGAAATTGAGTTTTTGAAACTGAAGAAGGGACCATCGTCCTCTCTCCTTTCCATTCCTTCCTCCCCCTCCTCCCCCTCCTCCTCCGTGCAGGTTCTGCTGCGCAAGCGCACAGGGGACGAGGCAAGGCTGATGATGGCGAACCCTATTCCATTGATTTTCGAGGCTGCGAAGCGTGGCCGATTCAGTGCACTCGTGAAAGAGACCTTCGACCGACACCCGTGCAGCCCTGCATCCCCTTGGAGTTTGATCTTGTACAATGACCAGGCAAAGCCAGGTAATAAAATGAAGCAGTGGAACAAGCGCGCATTAGAGTGCATCTATATATATAGCATTTCTGGAATATGGCGCTCCAGCGCTATCCAAGGGGGACTTTTGGCTGCCAATCTCGGCCGTCAAAGCCACAGAGGTTTCGGAGTGCGAAGCAGGGGTGGCACAACTTGTCGGTGGTGTACTGAAAAAATGCTTCGGCCCGTCAGGCCATGACTTACGCTACTCTGGAGTATCCTTTGAATTGGCTGATGGCAGCAGCATGAAGATATGGGCAAACCTCGCTAGCGTGCTTGCTGACGAGGCGGCGCTGCACAGCATATGGTGCAATAAAGGCTCGAGCGGTGTCAAATGTTGCCCCGTCTGCCGTAACGTTTGCAGCAAAAACTGGCAAGGCTCGGAGTTCCTAGGTCCCGCTACGTTCCTGAAAGACTATTCGTCCATCGTTAGCTTGGACCAATGCGTGCAACACACAAGAGACACCATCATGACCATCATTCGGTTGTTGGACTTTTCCAAGCCTCCTCGTATGTCAAAGGGCGACTTCGAGGATCGCGAAAGACGACTTGGGTGGAACCATGCGCCGTTCAATCTTTTTCACGACGCACATTTGGCATATTTATTTGATCCAACTCAACAGAATGTGTTCGATTGGGCCCATAACTTGCTTTCAGGTTGCTTTCATATTACAGTATTTTTGGCAATGAAAGATTTATGTCCAAGATTAGGTCCGTCCCACGTGTTTCGATGGCTGTCCGAGGTCACGTGGCCGCGACGAGTTGGCAGCAAGGGCGCGTGTGGAATCGAAATGTTTTGTCCGAAGCGATCGGCTAGCAGCATGGAGGCAGAGAGCTGGAAATGCTCACAAAGCGAAGCACTTTCCATTCACATACCCCTGGCACATTACTTCCGAGAGGTGATCAGACCTACGAATATGTATAACCGCACATGCGAAGCAGTGGTCACTTTGTCGATTCTTATTCAGATGCTATGGTACGGACCAAAGCTAAAAGTACCAGGGGACGCTGTGAAGACAGCAACTGAAAATTACCTACGTGCATTCACAGCAGCATGGGGGCCATCGTATTTTCTTTGGAAGCACCATTCAATATTGCATCACTCCTCGTACGTGAACCGTTTTGGATACTCACCGAATACGCTTTGTCTCGAGCGCAAGCACAAGTCTGTGCTCAAATGGGCAGAAGACTGTAGCAAGGAAGGACTGCAGTGGCGTGATCAAAAGTGTTCTCAGTCAGACGTTGCATAATCTTGTAGACGCCCCTTGGCTCGACCTTCGCTGTGGACTCGTCGCCCCGAGGAAGCCGTCAAAAAAATGCTGCAGTTCCTAGTGGGGTCTTTCGGTGAGGAAGACCACATGACGTCAGGGAAAGCTCGCTTTTCAGACTACGACGTCGCATGGGCAGGCGGCGTAATAGCAATGAAAGATGGGCCCGCCTGGACAGTAGGTAGGGTTTGTTTCTTTGCCTGCACGTCTGGAACTCCGTATCTTGCCGTGCAGCCGTTTCAAATGGTTGCGAAAACAACGTGGCAAAGCACTTGGAGGAAACATGGGCTTCCGAAGATCGCAGATTTGTTCAGCATCGTTGAGGTGTTGACACACATCGGCAACGGTGACCAAGTGCAGGTAATGCATCCATTAGCTCTTTGGGGCTGAGCAATGGAAAAGGAAAAAACATCATCCCCCTCCTCCTCTCTCCCTTCCCACTATAGGGGGAAGGGAGAGAGGAGGAGGGGGGGGATGTTTTTTTTCCTCCTGCTGCTCCTCCGCCTCCTGCTCCTGCGCCTCCTGCTCCTCATGCTGCCCCCCCTCCTCCTCTCTCCTCCTGCCCTTGCAGCTGCTACTTTTCCTCCTCCCGCTGGTGTCCATCTTGTGTCGGTGGCTGGTGGCCCTGTGGCGGACAGCCTCGCCACTTCGGCGCGCGGGGGGGGGGGGCTGGATCTGAAATGCGGGGCCCCCCTTGGGGAATCCTTGCCAAGACGAGAGGATTTTTCCACGATGTAGGGCGCAAAAACACAATCGTTTCGATTTAGTAACATAGTTAGCGGAGTTAGCTAACTGGCTGGCTAACTCTTGGCCCAGCGAGCTAATCCTTTAGCTAACTCCTTGGGAACTTAGCTAAGAACCTTAGTAAACGTTGCGTATGTATGTGCTAAATGTGTTTGCTAACAGTTGCCAACATACTTAGTAAATACTTGGCACACCATGCTCAACTCCTGGCAACTCTGCACAATCCTTATAACGCAGATGTAACCTTTAACAACGCGCTCACCCTTCCAAGCAAGGGACCCGCAGCAGCTCCTGGGACACCGCAGGATCCTCAGAGACCGGCGAAGAGCGTGCCCCAGGATCTCTCTTGCAGCAGGCTCTCTCCTGTCGTGCAGTCGGGGCGCCGAAGAAGGAACCCTTTTCGCGCGGGAGGGGCTGAGTTTTTCCTTAGCTGTTTTGCAGTTTGCCTCAGGCTATTCTTAGGCCTCCGATGGGAAATTGAAGTTCAGCTTATGGAAACAGAGGCCTCGTTCCTTATTTAGGGCTCTTTAGGTCAACGCCCCGACGCTATGTGTCTATTGTACTGTGCAGGGCATGCACGGCCAAGCAGCACCCTGGATCGGACCCGAGTCTCCAGCCGTCACCGCCAGGAGCTGCGCATTTCACGCGTGCCGAAACACGCAAGGGGGTCATCGCGAAAACAGGACTGTCCTCCAGCAGGGATCGCGGCGTTTCCGAAGTATGTTTGGAGCATTCCCCAAGTATTTTTTTAGTGGTTGCAGAATCGACGAAAAAGTATGCTTTGACTATTCTCAATATTTCTTTCAAGCATCGCCTGTAGGAGGACCTGCCCGACACAACACTCGTGGCCGCTTGGTTGGTCGAGCCCTCCCCAGGCGTCGGAGCGGGAACACGACGGGCGCGATCGTCCCGACGCAAGGGCTCGTGGGGTCCTTCTGGTTGGTCCGCCTCGAGGAGCGCCGTAGAAAGGTCGGGTCGAGGGTTCGTGTCGTGGCTTTCGTGCCGTGGGGTCCTTGTGGCTCGGTCCGTCTCGAGGAGCGTCGTAGAAAGGTCGGGTCGAGGGTTCGTGTCGTGGCTTTCGTGCCGTGGGGTCCTTGTGGCTCGGTCCGTCTCGAGGAGCGTCGTAGAAAGGTCGGGTCGAGGGTTCGTGTCGTGGCTTTCGTGCCGTGGGGTCCTTGTGGCTCGGTCCGTCTCGAGGAGCGTCGTAGAAAGGTCGGGTCGAGGGTTCGTGTCGTGGCTTTCGTGCCGTGGGGTCCTTGTGGCTCGGTCCGTCTCGAGGAGCGTCGTAGAAAGGTCGGGTCGAGGGTTCGTGTCGTGGCTTTCGTGCCGTGGGGTCCTTGTGGCTCGGTCCGTCTCGAGGAGCGTCGTAGAAAGGTCGGGTCGAGGGTTCGCGTCGTGGTTTTCGTGCGCGGCGTTACACGCTGGTCGTTGAAAGCAAGTACTTTTGGATTCCCAGGTCCCAATCTGCTTCAAACGCCCTCCTGCTTCAAGAACCGGCATGCCTTTGCTGCGTTTTGTTCTTCTTTGGGAGGACCTGGACCCAATCCACTACATCCGCCTTCCTACTTCATGGTTCTACTTACTTCTTCCGACCGGCGTGTACAGCTTCCCCACGGCCTGGGATTGCGCAGTGGCCCGATCGCCCGCGGCCTGCTGGCGTCGACGGCACGCAGGAGTGGCCTTTCGCCAGAGTGACCTCTGGTGCGGGCTCATTGGGGCCCCCCCGATCGCTGAATGCGATGCGACACCAGCGGCCTGCGCTCTTTGGGCTTGCCCTCCCCGCGCCCCCCAAAAGCCGCGCACCAACGGTCTCGTGCCTGGGGTCCTACGTGCGGCCGGTGGTTTGCCAGGAGGCATGGTTGCCCGCGGCGCCGTGGCGGCCACTTTGTTGGACTGGGTCCTATGTTTCTGTGCATGTGCCGTGAATGGTTCCCCAGGAGCATAGTTGAAGATTTCCCCAGTTGCCAGTTGTTGCTGTAGCGGATCGATCGATGAATTGGTCGCGTAGTATCCAGGCTTTCCCAGGATAGCAGCGAACGGTGTAAGGTGGGTTATGACGGGTGTGTTCGCTCAACTCGATGCGGATTGCATAAGTCAAAACGGCTGCAGCGTGTACATTGATCCTGAAGCTTGGCCTGAAGTGGTCAGGTATGGCGCTGCTGGAGACAGGGCCGACACACCTGAAGAGCAGATGAGAAGATATACGAAGCTGCCGAATTTCGACCCAGCTTGCCGGGAGGTCACATGCATGGATGAGGAAGAAATCTAGGTTTGGCGTTGGATTGTGGGAATCGGGAGGGGAGGGGGATGGAACCTAACAGAGAAACGATGGGCAGACTCAAAGTTCACAGGAGGCACTGTGCGCTCCACTCAGCACACACTCGCGACTCTTTGACTGCGCGCAGGAACGCGGCCGTGCTCGGAAGCATCCCCTTGACGCTTTACGCATTCCCGCCAGCCCACCCCGAAACCAAATCCGCGACCTGCCGTGAGAAGAGTGGCGGGGGAGCGCGCAGCAAAGGATGGACAATGGGTGCACCGAAGCTGGAGTCTGTTCGGCAGGCGCCTCGGGCTCGCCGGAGAGCCGTCCTCCCCGTCCAGACACCTGGGAACGGGGTAGGCGACGGTCTAAGCCCGTCTTCGAAACGGAAGAAGTGGGTCGGAAGACACGATTCGGCAAACCACCCACGCCCACAGAGTTGGAGGGATGTTGGCGACCTTCCTTCGTTCTGCGCGCAGGTTCGTCCTTCCGTTGCCGTAAGCGGACCGTAGTGCGCGCAGGTTCGTCCTTCCGTTACCGTAAGCGGACTGTGGTCTCATTCTTGATTGAAGTTGAGAGATGCGCAGGCTCAATCATTTAGAAGCGTCAGTCTTGTCCTGCGAGTCGGAACCATTCTACTGGCAGTAATCATGTCCTTTTTCCGAAGACGCTTACGGCGAACCACTACCGCCCCCTGCCTCTTGGAAACGCCTACGTGGCCAAACGTTGTCCCGAAGTCTTGCCAAGATATTGGCGAACGTGTTTCCACAGCCACTGTGGAAAACCTTGGGGGAACGTTTTTTGGTGGATCAGGGTTGTTGAGGAGGCGGCGGAGGAAACGCAATCCATTAGCCAGTGCAGTGGACTCTGAGGGACCTGAGGACACTCCACTTCGTGCCTCTGAGCACGGGGGCGGATTCACACGTGCAGCTGTGTATCACCACTTGTAGCAGTGGCAGTGACAGTTTGTAGTCTTTCGATCGCAGGTATTCCTACCACTGATCGTATTAGTAGTCGCAGTAGCAGTAGTAGTAGTAGTAGTAGTAGTAGTAGTAGTAGTAGTAGTGGGAGTGGTTGTAGTAGTAGGCGTAGTACTAGATGTAGTAGTAGTAGTAGTAGTAGTAGTAGTAGTAGTAGTAGTAGTAGTAGTAGTAGTAGTAATAGTAGTAGTAGTCGTAGTACTAGTAGTAGTAGTAGTAGTAGTAGTAGTAGTAGGAGTAGTAGTAGTAGTAGTAGTAGTAGTAATAGTAGAAGTAGTAATTGTAGTCGTAGTAGTAGTAGTCGTAGTAGTAGTAGTAGTAGTAGTAGTAGTAGTAGTAGTAGTAGTAGTAGTAGTAGTAGTAGTAGTAGTAGTAGTAGTAGTAGTAGTGGTAGTAGTAGTAGTGGTAGTAGTAGTAGTAGTAGTGGTAGCC